TATCAAAACAACCTTAACCCTTCGTGAATTTTTAAACCTTTCGATGAATATACCGAGTGGACACGTTAAAAGGCCTCTAAATGAGTATATTCTGTATCGAAAGGATGTGACTCATGAATTTAGCAGAGCAGGAAAACGATTGTCGGTCCATGATATTACCACGATAGCAAATGAAAGAAGGAAAAATCTTGGAGAACTCGAAAGAAAATTTTGGAAAGAGTTAGCATTAGTGGCTAAAAAATTACATGAGTCTAAATATCCGCATTACAAGTTTTCGCCGAAAAGAAAATCACAGAAAATTGTTCCTAGCCAACGCTATTGCTCTTTTGCCGTACCGATTTATCAGCATTGTCATAACTTTGCAGAGATCAATAAATTAGAAGTTATCAATTTTATGCAAAGTATCACTCAGTAACAAAGTAAGTGCGAATAGTCATACGTTATTCAAAACTATTTACTCGATTTTGTTAACTAAACAACATTTTACATGTTAGTAGTCCAGTACCTTTTGCTATTGATATGATGTTTTAAAATATAGAATTTAATTTAAAAATCATCCATTTCGATAACTTTTGTTAAGTTTGTTAACGATGTTGTCGATTGTTACTTAGTTTTTTATTTTTATTAATCACTTTCTTAAAAGTCGATTTATTTGTCTTTTGATGAACGTTTTTGATTTTTCGTCGAGTCACTACTGTACTCGTTTGATGTTAACATTTAAAATATGGTTGACGATAGGATAAGTTTTTTTTTTTGTTTTTACTTTACAATTATGATATTATTTGAGTTACTAAATACACTATTGTAATTAGTCAATATTTAATAAAATATTGGTACAAACAAGCTATGCTATTACATTTCTCGGCCAAAAATTAAGAATTTTTTTATGTAAAAAACAAAACGCTTATATTTGTCGTAATGTACATTTTATAATCAACAAATTCCAAAATTCGCTTAAATTTTAATTTTAATACAGTATGTTTTACTGAATGATTTTATACTTGGAAACCGGATAAAAATACAATAATCATAAAATAAAATAAAAATAATGAATAATTAATAATAATAAACAGTAAAGTCTTTTTATTAAAGAGTGTATTAAAAAAATGTTATTGAGTCAAACAAATAGTCAATGAAGTTTTGTATGTCTAAAGTCCAACGGTTAAAAGAACACTGATATGTTATTGTCATTACATATGTGAGCATTGTCACAGATTCATCGCAAAAAACAATTGTTTTTCTGGAATTACCGATAGTTTAGCTGTTGGAAATAATTGTAGGTGCATCCTCCGACTATACACGAGTTTAAACATAGTTTTTTAATTGACATAATGAAGCATTACGTAATTTGGTAAACAAACGATGTATTGACATATAATTAACCATTATGAGAAAGTCATTTGTGTTTCTATCCGATGAAACACACAGGGTGTCACATCGGTTTGGTTATTATTAAACAATCAACTCGCTATTATAATAATTTGTAATTGCAGTTATGCTGATCTACAGCATTTCTTTTTTATATTTTTGCCTTTAATAGTAGTTTTTTTCAAAAACGACTACAGTATTTGCGTGGGGCCTGTGCAGATTATTCGAACGAATTCCGGATTATAAGAATTTTCGATTTCCAATACCCCATTCTTTTAAATAACATGGTACGGGTAATTCACCAGTAATGCACGAATGTCACGGAGGTGTCCAATAAGTGAGTTATGAACACCTCTCATATCCTTATTTTTGGAAAAAAATTTACGTATGCTGCCTTTAACGGATGTTATGTTATTTTTAATTTGCAAACAATAATTTAATCACAGTAATTTCACATATTATTCTTTTAAAAACCCAATATTGGATTTGATTTTGTTGTACAGTAATAGTTTCGGTGTTAAAAAAAAACAATGCCCGAGAAATAATTGGAAAACTTAAGAGAAAACAGAAGCAATTGATAAAGTAGTAGATAAATAATCTTTATTGAAATATAATTGTAGGTTTTATGTATTTAAAAAAGCTACAATTTTGTTGGATCATTGGGACCGGACCGATCCTGGGGCTGAGGTCCCAACACTAAGAGATTTTGGATTCTAGAAAAACCTTGATAAAAAATCGTTAGAATCATATTTAATTCGTACGTAACTCGTGATAAAACAAATCATTTTTGTAATCAGTAACTTCTTTAGGATTGGTTGGGACCGATTGGACCTCTACTTAAAGTAATGTTTAGCCTTTTGACTATATTAATTAATTAGCAGAATTTTTTTTTAATAAGTACATTGTACGTACAAAATTGAATGATCAACACTTATGGCAGAATACAGTATTGGTGCATCTGCGCGAAGCAATTGTATTTATTTTTACGACATACACAATCTAGTTTATTATCATCTACAGTATAAAAGACGCCACAATCCTTTGAAATATTCTACTCTGTAAGTCAACTATTCTTTTGTAACTAATTTGAATTACACTCCTTTAAAAAGTCTTCATTCATCGGGAAAACATGTCGCAAAAATTCGAACGAACAAGACGAACACCTGCACAGTTAACAGCGATAATCGCAAGTTCTAAATCTCAGAGAGAACTAAACAAGATCGCTTTTAAAGAGCAAGAAAGAATTATTGAACTTCAAAAGGAGACTCGGGAAGTTCAATGTATAGTCAAAGGCCTGTTGGGGCATAATGAATTCGGTGATGTTAAGACTACGTTGACTCTTCGTGAATTTTTAAAGCTTCCAGTGGTTATGAAGAGTGGACACGTTAAGAGGCCTCCAAATAGTTATATTCTTCATCGAAGGGATGTTGCTAGTGAATTTCGTAATGTGAAAGTTAAATTATCTGTTCATGAAATTACTTCAATTGTAAAGGAAAGAAGGAAGAATCTCGATGAAGTTGAAAGTAAATTTTGGGAAAAGTTAGCATTAGTGATTAAACAGCTACATGAGCACAATTATCCGTCCTACAAATTTTCTCGAAAAGAAAATCACAAATAATTGTTCCAAGTCAACCACTTCATCCTTTTGCACCGATTATACTCATCCAATGTATACGCAGACACCAACCAACCCTTTATTGTATTCCGAAATAACGTTACCATATACACGAACATCAGATACACTATTTGACACCACTGCATATTATTAACAGCAAATTTTAATAGTGTGAGTGTACACAA